TTTATATATATATATATATATATATATATATATATGAGGTCATACAATCGTAATCCTTTGCTGTAAAAAATATTAGTTAAATATACAAATTACAAGAAACAAATTTTAAAATAATATTACAAAGCATAAAAAGAATTAGATTTCTTTTCAATAAAAATTATAATTTATTTTAACGTATAAAATGAAAAATATATATATACAAATAAATCTTTCCATACAGTTTCTCTCTTAAACAGTGAATTCCATTGCAACAGCATCAGTTTTTTGCTTCGCCGATTTTGAAAGAGAGTTCCATTTTATCACAAAAAAACCGAGTTCAATCTAATTCTATTGAGTCTCGTTGCGATACGCATCTTATTGTAATTCAGTTCGTAAAAGGAAACCTCACTTTCTGATATAAATATTCGATTCACCGGTTAAAGCGTCGCCACCCTTTGTAAGTATACCACGAAGAGGTTTTCGATTTCAGTGTATTTTTTCTCTCTCTTTTGCGCGCGAAGATGAAACGAAAGGGATGACATCCCTACGCAATACGTTTCTCTCGACCCCGCGAAGAAAACTTTATACGAGTGTCTTTAATCTAAATCCTAACGATAATCACACACTTGCTTCTTTCTCTTAATCACTTCGTAATTCTTAATATCACAATACCGCTACTAAGGTCTTTAATCGCACTACGACGAAAAGCGACCGAAGCAAAGTAAAAAAAAACAGAACGAAAAAAGGGGGTAAAGAAGTAAAAAAAATCTAGACACAAAGAAACGCGAACAGGTATTAACCACAACGTAAGTAGTAGTACGTACGGTAGTCAACGAATAATAATATAACATGACAAATTGAAGCGAAGATTGCGAACAATAATTTAATAGCAGAACGTTAATCCTCTCTCTAATCTTTCGTCCCTTTCAGCGCGTTAAACGGCAAAGGCGAGCTCATCTTGTCATTGTTTCTCTGTGAAAATCTATTTGAAGCTACAGAGTTAAAGCGATACAGTTTCAAGATGGATCATCTCTCAAATTACACCGACAAATATAATTCAACTATCTAGCTTAGAATATATAATTACGCCATTAGTCTGCATACGATTTTACACAATTTTAGCTATCCGTTAGACAGTAAGATTTTTGTCTTGTTATATAACAAGTCTGAAATATATTCTGAAGTGTTGGAAATTGCACCGCTTTACTCTGTCTCGTTAAAGGGTTTAACTCTTAATCCCAAAAACTAAACGAAAAATCTATGACAGTTTCACAAACTCTAAACTTTACACATAATTCGTTGATATAATTTTACACTCGCAAAACTAAAATCTCGAAACACGAAATATTGAAATTTAACTAAAACAAAGCATTACGCACTAACAATACAGAAGGCAAAAGCATATTGCTTCACGCCGATAAATTCGATGGTTTAAATTAATTGCTGTCAAGACGAATCACCCGGGGTAATGAAACAAATATTAATATATTTATCAATGATATCGCAGAAATGATTATCAGCATCGCGACATCGAGAGAAGATGGTATTATAAAGTAACGAGATTTTTCACATAGCGACTATTATGAAGGGAGAAAATGACGAGGGAGAAAGATCGATCGATGGAATGACGGTATGGGCTGAACATCTGTATCATCTACAAACAGGATATACAGGAGGTCCCAAAAAATATGCACTATGAGAACATCTTACCGAAATTATTTTTGCTAGTTTACAAGAACAAAATTTTTTGAAAGTTGGACAAAAAATATAAAAATTAATTGAAAAATTTGAGTTATTATTTGAATTCTTACGCTTCTCAATGTAAAATAATTCGACTATATGATTATATATTCGAATTATTCTTATGTTGATATCAATAGTGGCCTGATTAATCACAAAATGATAGTCTCATTAGGATCTATTTCTTTCTCTCTGGGACTATCCTGCAAGATTTTCATAAAAGGTTACTATTTGGAGAATATGCTGCTACACATTATTCCAGCATAATCATTTCGCATTTCACAATGAAAAATGGACAATGTGTGCTCGTCCATGAGAGACACACGAGTTTCGAAGGATCATCACTAAACATCCGACGCGACTAATAGCTACCTGACTACGATTAATCAGTAAAACGCGCTCTAAAAACTAATTATACTTGCTACGTATCACGTGAAATTTGTTACAAGTCTTATAATCACATATCCTCTTCAAGAACGAAGACGCGAGAGACCACTCCTCGCGATATAAGATCTACTACTATTAGAACTTGTCTCGCGCGCTATCACAATTATCGAACGCGTAATAGGCCTCTCTCTTGAATACAATATTGCATGGTGACAACAGAACAAAAGAGTGATGGTGTTACCATTAACCCTTTAACTGACTCGCCATTCAACAGTGAGAACATAGATTCATCCTTACCTTTACAATACTTCTAATTTCAAATCTAGATCCCTAGATTTGAGAAATCTTAAATTCTACGATCCTCAACTCCAACGATCTTCAAATTCTACGTACCTTATAAACTAGCTTTGCAAATATGTTTTTTAATTCTAGTGTCCTCCGAATCTAATCGTTTAACTTATTTTCTGGATTACAATTAAGAATAATTCAGCTGATTCAATTCTTTAATTATTGATTAATCTTATAGAATGAGATATCTGGATTTTTGTTCTTTAGATCTGATTTTCTTAAACTATTAGATCTGTGGACGTCTAGATTCTTCGATTTTTAGATCCATATATCACTAGATTTTGGACACGAGATCTAACTTTTCGTAAATCTGTTGCGTTCAAAGTGCAACTATTTTATACCGTAAAGCAGCATTTCTACGAACTACTTCATTTCTTTACACATTCAATGAATAAATTCTAAACACACAGAACAATCTTAGTCCTGCACTTATACGTGCGAGTACCTTTGTTCAAAAAATTTCTACTGTTTCTTATGAGTGAAATGTGTCATTTATATAGAAAATTGAAATATAATCTCCAAGTTAAAGGGTTAAACGCAACACCTCACACGATTGCAACCATGATACACGAATTTTACAGCGTGCTGTTACAACGACGAAATCTAACCTCAGGTCCGCTGCTTCTTCTTAGTTTTTTTTTTCCATCCTGGTCTTCGATATTGTACGAATTTGGCCGATGCCTATAAGGTAATAACTGACAAAAAATGGCCACACCCGTTTAGGCAAAACGGATGATCGTTACAATGTGCAAAACTCCGGTATGTGATCCTGAGACACTTCAATGAGATTGCTGGAAAGACCTATAGAGTTTCTTCTTTTGCAAAGTGAAGTCCCTACTGATCATAATGGTACCACCACGCGTGAGATTTCTGGAAAAAAAAAAACAACGAATCGTTTTAAATTTCCTTACGTCAAATAATCATGCTAATCGCATTATCTACAAAAAATGCGATATTTTGCAACACAAAAATATTTTATGGAAACGGAAAAGCTAAACGGATAAAAATTATTCAGATACGATCTAATCATATAATCTTAGTGAAGAAGGCGGTATTGCGATACCACTGCGTGTTATCAAAGATGTATGTAAATAATAAAAACAGTTAATTATGAAACATAACAGTAAGATCCAGAATATTATCTCATTGTCAGTCCAAAGATAGTCGAACAAAAGAATAAGTTAATAATTTTATATAAAATCAAGTTGCAACACAAATAAATTAAAGTAATTTAAACCAAACTTTAATTGTAAAATTTCACTTTATTAAGTGTATACTCACTTCAAGAATTGAGGCAGCAGCATGTGCCAGGACGTATGGTCCTGTTTCAGCGTGAGATAAAGCTCGAACGTCGACACAGTACTGGGATCGCACTGTATTCTCGACAATTTGCGGCACATGCTGTCCGTTTCGAAGCTGATGAAAAGCGTACAGCCTCTGAAACAAGCAAACATCCAAAGATATTGAAAATCTAAACAATATAACGATTAAAATTTATTCTGGAGAATCGTTTGCAGCGATAACGAATCGATATATCCCAGGAAAATTTAATAAACTTTTATTTTTAACATCAATCTTTTTACAGTAACCGAATAAAACTCTATTAAAAAATATAAAAATAACAAAATTCGATCAAATCGCTTTAAATATTTTATATAATTATCGATATCTCCTATAACATTATTCACGAAAAAGCAATTAGGAGAAAAGTTTTTCGATGTTTTCCAGATGGACACTTGTTGCGCGAAATAATATTTATCTGGATTCGCGGATCATGTTGATTTGGTCAAATTCGAATCACTCGAAGAAGGGGAGGGTTCGTGGAAATTGTTTGGCAATATGGAAAATTCTACTTACCGAAGGCCGCAGGGCTCATTTTCTGCCATCGTAAGTACATCTTTGGCTATCTTGGGCAGCAAATCGGCAGGTAGGAGAACCTCGCCGCAAGCCAGCTGGGCGTGTTTAGCCCTCCTGAGTTCAACCTCCAGCCTCTTCGCCAGCGCCTGACAGGCACCGTCCAATTCGTCCGTCTCGCTTCCAGCTGTAACAATTAATTAAACGAAATTAAGCGCGCGCGCTCTGTCTCTCCCTCTCTCTCCCGGTGAGTAAACTAAACGTTAAAGCGGTCAATTGAAAAGAAAGCGGCAGATCACTTTTTCTTCTATTTTCAGACCTACAGACAGCTCAACACAATCATTCCCCCAATTACTCCGACACCCAAATAAAATTAATTCGGACTAATTATCTCGTTAATGCAAATTAAACAATTATTAATTACACACTTAGGATAAATAATAATTTATCCTAATTAATTTGTAATTTAATTTTCCCACTAAATTTTTGTCCAGAAAATTACATAGCATAGTACATCAGAACAAAGTAAACGAAAAGTAGCCCCTCCTATCTCTCGAGACACAAGAGTGCGAAATGATGTAACTTTATAGGCATTAACATCACATCACAATTGATATCGTCGAATGTACTCGAAAACTACAGCGAAAATAAAAAAAATATATTTTGCTTCTCGATGATGATTCACGTTATCTGCCACTCCATTTAAATATAATCCGAAGTCAAATGTATAATTCTAATCAGTGCTTCGAGATACCGCCGATTCTTGCTTCCGCAATGAGATTTTAGATATTAGCTAATTTTATGCTCGCGTTAACTCGATCGCAGCTATATAATCCCGATTAATCGAGCGATGAGATCATCGTTTTATTGTTTAAAACCGACGTGTGTGCAACATAACAAAGAACAGTCGTCAGGAGCGAGGACGCAACCAACGTCGCGTCCCCCCACCTCTCGCCAGGCATTTCAATTTTTCAATCAATGCGTGGATCGTCGAAAGAATGTATGAACTGTAACATTTTTTTTCTACAAGCCTATTTCCACCAATGTAAATTAACTTCAACCTTGATTTCACCTTTCTTATTAATCACCTATTTTTATCAATCCAACGTCTAACTATAGCAACGTCCTGCCCGTCAATTTAAAAATATACGAAATAAATCTATGATTTAATAAATAAGTAAACCTATCATTTTCTTCCTTAATTGACGAGCGTATTTTTTTTTTTTTTTTTTTATATTAATCTTTTCCGGTTCGGTTTAATTTTAACTTTTTACGAAATTGTAAAGCATTGTCCTGTTAAATTTAAAAAATATAGAATAAATTGTTTTATAAATAAATGATCATTTTGGCCCTAATTGATAAATCTACTATAATTACCAGTTTCTAGTTCTAATTATTTTCTAAGAATTTTTCCACTTCTAAGAATTAGAAAAAGTAAGGTAAATTGGGATTAAAGCGTTAATCCACATCGATAGAAATAGACGTATGTCGATCAGTCGGCCGACTCTATCTCGAGCCTGCCTCGACCATTGTTTCTAGCGGCCGGCGAAGAGGTGAGCTCGTTTGACCTCGATTTTTTTTTATCTACCTTGTCGCGCTTAACAAAAATCACAATCGCCGTTCTGCGCCACTTCTTAAACAATCAACCCTTCCGTTTCGTGCTTTAATTAACGTTTATGAAGCTAATACTGGAGCTCTCTCGTTTCTATCGTCAAAGCTGCTGGAGAATCGAAAATAAAAAGATCTCACAACAAAGCGAATCATAAAATACGATCAAATTGCCAATTAAAAGAAATACATTCACGTTATAGTTGTTGCGCCATCAGGTGACAAAACCTTGTTTGTGTTCCATAACGATCCGAAGGGAACAATTAACTGAAGTAGTACCGTCTTTGTGTCCACTAATCCGTATTTATTTACCGGACGATCGAAAGCGCAAAATTTTTGGAAAATTTCCATTTATAAACACACCGAAGGCAGTTTGTGAGTGGAAAGCGCGACGAGAACAATCGAGGAACATGGAAAAACGGCAGCGAAGGGCATCCCCTCCCCCTCGCACGATCGGAAGGCCGCGACGCTGACGCAATTATAATTCGACGTTTCACCGGTAAATCGCCGGTTGTGCCTCAAACTCGCGTCCCCGTCTGCATTAAGACGCCGGAAATAAATATTACGAGCGACGCGGCCGACGAAATGTGTCGCGAGAGCAAAAATCAGCTGATTGCAGCCGGCGTTGTCAGCTGAGAACAACGGTTCGCTCGATGGAGGAGAAGGCCGACGCGACAGTTGACGTGCGAAAACGGAGGGGAATTAAAGGGAAGCCGGCGTCGCGGAACAGCCGTTATTCAATACGCACTCACCTCGAGTGTTGCTGAAGTCCACGTTGACAGGACACGGCAGGACCTCCATGGTTTCGCGAGAAAGTCTTGCGGCGGCGGCGGCGGACGCACAATGGACACGGCGGCTTTCACGTCGGCCTTGCCGGACGACGGCGGTGCGATTTTCCTCGAGAGACAGAGAGAGATGCCGACGGCGAACGACGAACGGGGCTGTTGGAAACGCGAGGAAAGCGGCCACGGGGAACAGATTGACGACGGACAATCGGCGATCGGATTCAGAACACCCGGGGAGCTTTCACCGCAGAGTCGGAGAAAAGGAGGAGAGAGAAAGAGAGAGAGTGCGAGCGCTCTCGACAAAGCTCCACGACAAATTCACCCTTTCGACTGATCGGCCGCCGGTCGCTGACGCGACTTTTATACGGACGATCCCACCTCGCGGCCGCCCCGCCGCTCCCTCCGCCGCACGTCACCCATGGTCGACCGCCTAGCAACATCGCCTACGTGACGTTTCGGCAGTACATCCGCACTTCGGCTGTTTCCGGCGTCGCTCGCGCCGGCCTTCGGTCACGCTCGGCACCTCGACGAAGCGAGAGCGTGCGAGAGCGACTCTCCGGAGGGGACCTATCCGCTCTCCGCGCTGTTGCCTGCTGTTGCCGGCGGTGACGACGGTACATCGGGTTTTTTTTTTTTTTCACCCACGATGCTCGTTTTGTTTTTCTTCTCTTTCTCCCTCTCTCTCTCTCTCTCTCTCTCTCTCTCCCCCTCCCTTGTTGCCTACTCTCATCTCTCGTCGACGTGCATTACGTCGCGCAACCTTTTATCGCGGCTTTTAACGCCGCGACGAGACGCGCGTATTAAACCGCAGGTGAAATTGCTGCCCTTCGCCCGGTAGCAGGTTTTTTTAAGCGTAGGCGATTTAGGTAAAAATCGAGAGATCGCTCCCGATGTAAAAAGACGAAGAGCGTATACGCACACACCTCCTTTCTGGCTACATCCCGGTGGGGAGAAAAACCTGTTTTAGAAATTCAGAATGAGGTGTTGTGTTTTGCTGTGGGGCGCGGGATCAGCTGACCCTGGCTGTAGTGAAGGTTATGGTAAAAAGTCGTCACGACGGAATCACGATTTAAAAAAAAAAAGTCTCCTTTTGACAAGAGAATTTCGATAAAAAACTTATTTAAGGACGTAGACAAACGACGAATCGAAAAGAAAATGTAGAACTCGCAACAGATAAGTGTGAAAACTACGCATTGCATAGGATTTCTAATCGTGTTAAGAATTATAATTTTAAAGTTCCTTTTACGAGAATTTCGATAAGAAACTCATATTTGAGAACTTGAACGAATGATGACTCAAAAAGAAAATATGGAACTCATAAAAAATTACACATTACGTAAGATTTAAAAGTCTTCTTTTGATAAAAATTTTAATAGAAAACTCGTATTAAGGGCAAATGTACACGACAAACCAAAATGAAAAGTAGATAAAAGATTTAATTGTAAAAACCGTACGTATTGATTGCATAAGACTTCCAATTGGATTAAGAATCGTGACTCAAAAGTCTTCTTTTGAAGAGAATTTCGGTAAGAAACTCATATTTAAGGATATAGACAAATATAAACCAAAAAGAGAATTTATAATATAGAATTTGCGAAAAAGCTAATCGTGAAAACCGCGCATTGCGTAAAATTTCCAATTGTGTTAACAACCACTATTTAAAAGTCTTCTTTTGACAAGAATTTTAACATGAAACTCATTATTTAAAAACGTAGATGATTCATCAAATAAAAAAAAAGTATAAAACTCGCAAATATATTTTCTTTTTGATTATGAAAATCATACGCATTGCGTAAGATTTATAATTATGTCAAAAATTGCAATTTAAAATATTTTTTTTTTTACAAGAATTTCGATAAGAAACTTGTATTTAAAGACATACACAAATAACAAATAGAAAAAAAGTATGAAACTCGTAAAGGCTGATTGTGAAAATCATATGCATTGCGTAAGATTTCTAATTATGTTAAGAATCACGATTTAAAATAGTTTTTTACAAGAATTTCAATAAGAAACTTGTAGTTAAGGAAATAACGAACAAATTAAAAATAAAAAAGAAAATGTAGAACTCGGCTGAACTAAAGGCTGCGATTATGAAGATGAAAACTGTACGTATCGCATAAGATTTCTAATTATGTTCAAGATTTCTATAATTGTATCAAGAATGACGATTTTAAAAACAATCTTTTGACGAGAATTTCGATAGGAAGTTTTATATTTAAGGGCGAATAAAAATTAATAAATTAAATTAATTTAAAAAAAATGTGGAATCTCCGATGTAAGCTGATTGTGAAAAATCGTATATTGCGTAAGACTTCCAATTGTGTTAAGAAGCGCTTGCTCACGGCTACGCTTGATCTAAGCTAGCTCTACTACCGGTCTCACGAAAAACATTTCGAACGTTGATTCACTCGTTGTCAGCGCGATGTATTTATTTTATCGTCGCGCGTAAATAGTCGTACTCTTAATCGTATTGTTTTTTTTTTTTTACTATCGCTCAGTAAGCGATTTATATCATTCCTTTTCTTTTTTTTTTTTTTTTTTTACTATCGCTCAGTAAGCGATTTATATCATTCCTTTTCTTTTTTTTTTTTAGACGAGTAATATCCGATTCGACACGCTGTTCGTGTCGATTTATTCCGATATCACTCTATTTTTCCATCCGTAAGTCGCCCCGTCACGTTCGTTACGAAACGGAGAAAATGTTGTTTCCTTTCGTCGGCGAGAATTATTTTTCGCACATTGACAAATAGGTCGTACGTGATAAGTGTCTTTTTTTTTTTATCGGCCTCTAATCCGGAGGACACGTTGGGTCGCACGCGAGAGGAGGATTTATGTAACGAGAGTTACAAGATTAGCGCGCTCGTGCCGTTTACGAACGCCGTTAGTTTTAATACAAAGACGGTCACGTTCGGACAATAGATCTGACCGAGATGCATTCGGAGTGTAAAAGCTTCATATTCGCCGGGAATTACGCGCTCGGGCGAGAAACCGCCGCGATTATGGAAATCGCGGGATGAGAGTTATAGGTAAATGGATTACCGCGCGGACGAGAACGGTGTATGACAGGGGAAAGAATTATCTTTTTATACATCTCGACTTCAAAACAAATTATAAGTAATTCTCTTAGGAGCACTCGAGATAAACGCGTTGAAAATAATAACCTTCCTATTTTTATTCTCTCCTCTCCCTCCTTCTTCGATTTATCCGTTATCTCGATATGTTTCGCGGGTCTTCGAGTGAATTTTAAATTGGAAAAATATGAGAAAGCGGCCGGATGCTGAACAGGGAATAGAATTATCTTTTTATATACATCTCGACTTCAAAACAAATTATAAATAATTTTCTTAGAAGCACTCGAGATGAACGTGAGGAAGATAATGATCTTTCTATTTATTTCTCGGTTTATCCGTTATTTCGATATGTTTCGCGAGTCTATGAGTGAATTTTTAATTGACGAATACGAGAAAGCGACCGGGTGCCAAACAAGGAATAGAAGATTCCCAACTTGAACAAATTATAAGCAACTGTCTTAGAAGCACCTGAAATAAATGCATTGAAAATAATCTTCCCATTAATCAAATAATCTTATCCGATATTTTTTCAACTCCACGAGTTGACAATTAAATATGTCGGAATAATGGAAATAAACTCCTTAAATCTTAGATTGACGAATACGAGAAAGCGATCGAACATAGGACACGTATTACACAGAACTGTTCGAAATGGATTCTGATCAGAATTATTCTGAATTTTCCTTGGAAAATACAATAGAAACAAAAAGCAATAAAAGTTGTTATAAAAATTATTGTTTAATAACAATTATTCATATTTTTACAACACAGTGTATACGTTTCGACTTAGTCTTCGCATCAGTACTAATCTATAAATTAAAATCCTAGCTATCTAGGTATGTATCACATTGTACTTTACATTAACTCCTACTTTGTATCGCTCCCTTTGCAAAAAATAATTAATCAAATGATCGTTCACGTAAAAAAAAAATAATCTTTATTGATTATTAACATTGATGTCTTCATCCGGTTATTATCGTAGAATCCGGTTTTTTTTTTCAATGTTAATATTCAAATTATCGATTAATGTCACTAAATCCTTGTGATAAAAAATAATACCGGTCGATACGAAATCTCCTCAACATTTATCCTATATTATATTCTGTAAAATATACGTCAATAATGTATATCAATCATTTTTTAAAAACTTGATAATAATTGAAGAATTTTTTATCGGAATTTATTCCGAATAATTCCATAATACGTGCCCAGGAAATATATTAAAGACGCGAAGGAGTAGCGAACACCTGTGACTCCAAGGGTCTTTGTAGATGAAATACTGCAGAGACCCAACAATACCGGATCACCGGTCCTAAGAATCTGTGACAGCCCGAAGATTCGAGAACCTGTCTGACAAGTCCGGGCGATTTATAATAAATTCAAAATTCTATGCTGCCAGCGGCCCAAAAAATCCATCGAGATATCCGCAGATCTAAATCATTGTTGAGGATCAACAAACGTGATCGCGTATCGCGTTTAAATCTTGTAAGTATCTGGTATATGTATGTACACTCTCTTTCTTATCACTTTATAAATACAGTCGCTTAATCAGTATCAGACAGATAAAATAATTCGTTATGAGATGTTTAACAACTAAAGTATAATAGATGTGATAAGCATTAAATCTTAGTTTTAGTATGTTATTTAAATAAATATCTATTAAAATTTAGTACATTTTTTTCAGTATAACAAATCCAGCATGTTGATTTCCTTATACTGTTTAAGTATTCCTGAGTGCCATTCGCAGTGGAAAACTAATATGACACTGGTACACAATGAGTGCAATTGAATGCAAATCAATTCACATATTTCAATGTTAATAAATAATTTAACTCTTTTAATTACATATTCTTTATTATAACGATAACTTCGTAACATTGAAAGGATTAAATTATAGCATTAAAAATACCGATTTGCATTTAATCGCAGTCCAGTGTTGCGCTATAAATCTCGCAGCGACATGATCGAACAATTAAGAATCAATTAAGGTCCAATCATAATCGAACGTGTGGAAAACAAAGTCGATTATTTTCCTCACATTTGACTGTGAATGATCAATTTCTTATAGCTTAATAGCATAAGTTAACGACCAGTATAGATCCTTTTTAGGGTCTATACTACTCAAACAAACTTGTAGATAAACGTACATCTAAAGGAAATTATCCAATCGTATTTCTATTATGAATACGTGCGTAAAATGCGATTAGATAACTTCCTTTATGTATGCGTTTATGCAGACATGA